TGAGTTGCCTATCCCACTGGTTACATTAGGATTTATTTTCCCTTAGAGAATAATGTTTGAATTGGTAGTTTTTAACTTGTTCTGTTAAATGTACATATGGTCAGACCTAAACTTTAACTCTCAATATAAAGACTGGATGAAAAAAATATTTCTGTTATAGTTCTTAAGATTACGTGAAATTCAAGTAATTATTGTTGAAGAATTCATCATATATGTATTTGTTTTCACTATGATCATTTTATTATCAATCCACATTGATTCATTTCATATGAACCAAAATTTACTTGATGCAGATTTGAAACACGGATCTGGTTTGACTTAGTGGAAAAAGTTGCATGTATTTGCACTGAAATTATATTGTTTGAATATATCTCTTGGGCCATAAAACTGATAAAGTTTAGATCATTAACTTGTTAGTGGTAGATTTTTGTGTATTAACAGGTGCACTGTAGTAGCGAATATATTGTAAAGTACTTTTAAATGCATTGTTTTTATTTCAAAACCATTATAATAAAATTTGAATGATAAATTCACTTTCATCATTAGCCAATTCTAGTTAAAATTTCCTCTAAGAAACACTTGCTGCACACATGGAACAGCAGATTTTTTTGTGTCCTGACTTTTTAAATATAAAGGGATTTGTTTTCCTTCACTTTGTTCTCCCAGAATTCTCTGAAAGAGTGTACTGCATTTTGCTCCAATGGGATTGTTAAAAACTACAATAAGTCTACAATTTGCATATGATAAAAAAACACATTTTATTTAATACACTGTTATTACCCATTAGGGAATCTTTTTACATGAAACTAGTAAGTTTTAAAGTCACTGTAGTTCAGTACAGTAGCTGCACTACACATTAAATGAATAGTCTTATGTTTTAAAGTGAAGTTTTATCCACTGTTGGGCTGTATGCTGCTATTGTTGCAGCCCTCTGGAGAGCCCCTTTTCTCTAAATGTACCGTTATTAGATATTAGAAAATATCATTATAGAGATGGGAAGAATTTGTAACTTATTGATCCTGAATTTGGCACCATTACTCACTGCTCCTTTTTTAAAAAAATGCATGTTATGAAGTTGTTCTGTCAGAAAATATAGAGAAGGAATTGGAAGCATTTAGTTTAAGGCATTAAATATTGTTTAAAAGAGAGAGAGTAAATGTACTGTAAAAGGAAAGACAAAGTAGAAAGATAATAAATTAAAAGTTGGAAAGGAAACAATTGACACAGTTAGAGTGGCCAAGGTCTGGAATGGGCTCCCAAAGGAGGTGATGCCCTCCCCTACCCTGGGGGTCTTCAAGAGAAGGTTGGATGGACATCTGGCTGGGGTCATCTGAACCTCGCACTCTTTCCTGTGTATGCAGGGGGTCAGACTCGATGATCTATCGAGGTCCCTTCCGATCCTAACATCTATGAATCTATGACCCTATTGCAATGAAATGTGTTATAAAATCAAGGGCTGCATGCAGACAACCCTCCTTCCCCAAAACAAACAAAATACCTCCCCCTACACACACACAATAAATGCTTTTTACCAGAAGAAGCAGCACATTACTTTGACCTGACTCTGCAGCATCTATATAGATTGGGGGCTTTTTGGCACTTTTATCTAAAACTGAGCCAATCAGGTATTAGATAAAGGTGCCAAAAAAGCTTCACTGAAGTGCCAAATTTACACAGATATCAGGTGAGGTGGGTTCAACTAATGCGGTACTTCTGGGTATGCACAGCGCTTGGCATGAGAGCTCATAGAGTTTAAAGTAAAGTGCCTTTTTTTTCCAAACATCTGCAAACACCCACGGTGTTGGAAAGAATAGCTTGCAATAATTAGGGCAAGAACAAGCAGTTCTCAGATATCAGATGCTATGGAGGAAGTAACTGTAAGATTAATATAATGTCACTACAGTTTTCACTGAATATAACAAATTCACTTGTTATGTACAGTGTGTGTGTGGAATACTTGCCTGAGGCTAATGATACAATTAATTTCTGGCTTTTGTAATTTGCCACTTGCCAGTGCCTTTCTGTAGCACGTTCAGTAGGATACAGTGTATTTTTGTGTTATTCCCAGAATGATTGTCCTTGGAATAAGATTTTTTTTTGTGGGTAAATAATAGAATCAAAAGGGATCAAGCATAAATTAAAAGTTTGAAAGTGGCAGTGGCTATGTAGAGGACATACACTTAGTGAGGTCTTGCCATGTGAGGAGATGATTTCTGTTGTTTTATTTACTGAGATGCTCATTGTGCTAGTTTTTAAGTTCTTTTCTTGTAGTGGTTTAATATAACAAATGTTTCTGAAAGAATGTTCCATAAAATATTTGAAAATGATTCTATGATTAAATATATGAGCACATTTTTCAGCATTTTTTAGTAATGTTAGATTGGGGCGGGCGATTATTTTGGGCGGAGGGCATATTACTGAGTTTTGGTAAGCCATCCAGGGCCACATGACAGGCAGCCAGAGGCAGATAAATATTAATTTTCTAATTTTTTTAGGGGCCCACAGGCCGGATAGGATGCCCTGGTGGGCTGCATCTGGCCCGCAGGCTGCATTTTGCCCACCCCTGTGTTAGATGTATCCAAATTGCACGGTTGCAATTGCAGTAGTTTTGAAATCATGGTATAGTAAAAGCTCTGTTATCTGGCATCCATGGGGAATGGGGGATGCCGGTTAATCAAATATGCTGCATCTGGTGCACCGGGGCTTTCACTCCCTGGCGTCGGTGTGCCAGGGGACAGGGAGCTGGGCCCCGTGCAGGCTGCCATGCCCCAGGCTGTGGTCTACAAGGAAGAAGTAGGATTCGGCTCGCGGCAGCGAAACAGAAGTGAGACTTCCGGTTTTGCTTTGGCTGCGTCCCTTGAAAGGAAGATTTGTGTTGACAAATGCCGGTTAGTAAAATATTCCAGATGGTTAAGTGCCAGATAGCACAGCTTTTACTGTATACACTATTTTTTATATTGTCTATAATGTGTTCCTCTTTTTCTAGCTTTTACTATAGTTATGTCAGAAAATAACGCTTATAGTGTTGGGAGAATAAATTCAGAAATACTTGGAAGTTGTTCTAATGCTATTTTGGTAGGATCACATGAGGAAGGTGCAGAGATACTTTCAAGGGTGCTGTGGAATGCCACACAATATTGGCAATGTTAGGTGTGCAAATGTGATTCAAAAGTTAAACTGAAATTTCAACAGGAATCCTTAGCGTTAAAAACTTTCTGATCTGTTGTGGTCTTTCTGAGTTCTTTGCAACAGATGAATGAGTAAAAACTAAGAGCTGGCATTTTCTGAGGAGTGCCTTGTGTCTAGCAAGGGGTGCCTTGAGTCTACAGAAGTTGAAAACAACTGACATGGATGGAAAGAGGAAATCTAAGGAAGTGATTAAGGGAAAAGATGTAGAAACAGCATGGACAAGGGCTGATATAGTTGTCTAGAGTGGTAATGGTTGAAGAGGGAACAGCAGGGAGTAAGCAGCAATGGAAGGAGATACAGTAGCATTTTGGGGCATCTGAAGTTGAAAGCCGCTGACAGTTGCAGTTGTGATTAAAAAGAAAGATGAGGACAGCACTAGTAGAAGTATGCAGCTTGATTCATCCTTTACATTTAAAAAAGAAACAAATATATTTGTTTATATATAATAGCCCAAGGAGGGCTATTCTGCAGTTGCTCGGGGATGTAGGGGGGTAGTTAGGAAGGCCAAGGCAGAGGTGGAACTGGGACTGGCTTCCCAGATTAAGGACAATAAGAAGTCTTTTTTTAAATACATAGGGGGTAAAAAGAAGGTCCCAGGTAATGTGGGGCCCTTGCAGGATGTGTTGGGAAACTTGGTAGTCACACCAGATGACAAAGCTAACATGTTTAACGATTTCTTTGCCTCCGTCTTCCTAAGTAGGGACCAGAACAGCAACCTCCTAGCCGGGCCCCCTTCGGGCCCCGGGGGAGGCACACCTGGGCCAAGGGTT